ACCTGCATTAGCATATTTAGTTGGATCAAAAGTCTACTTTGGAAGCAAATCTCCCGATCGCCATCACTTACCTCAGTTCAGTGCATATCACTGAGCAGGCTCAAAGCAGTGACTGGATTCCTTTTCAATAAAACCAAGCTGGAAGATACATTTCAGGAGCACACCTGGGTCAGGAGTTAGTTTAGCACCACTTGCATGACATCAGCAGGGACTTTATCACTCCATCCTTTCAAACCCTTTCCTCCTTCCCACTCGAGCAACATTCTTGGTGAAAAACCCTGATTATTTGTCCACTGATATTTTTATTTTAAACTGGAAAGTGTATCATAAGAAACATTAGACTGTTTATGGAGCTTGGTTAGCATCCTGTAATGGAGAATAAGAGACTTACACAAATGCATTTCTTAGGGCTTGAGAAGTGGTAAAGAAGTTCCCAGTGACAGTCAGATCCACATTTTTAGTGTGGACATGCAAGTTTCCTTTCTAGGTGAGCGACAGAAGCGTCCTGTCAAGTTTCTAGCAGGAGCTAGGGAGTAATAAGCACAAGTTCATTTTAAGATACATATTTGGAGGTTGGTGATTTACTTAAATATCATTCTTTTTAAGGACAAAGCCTTTCTGGGACAGTAACATTCCTTGATGTGAATACAGGAGTTATTCTTCAGGAGACCATTCCTACTCTTGTTCTCTGCACCTCATTGCTTTCAGTTGTATTTTCCTATGAGGATTCTCACCTCTCTAGAAAGTCTGGTTCTCAAAGGCAGCTTTGCAAGTGAGGAGGGCTCAGCACTCCTGCTCCTTCCACCCTTCAGAATCATTTTCCCTTTATCACCCTGGCAGGCTAATGCTTCTCCACAGTCTGTAACAGCCCCATTAAGAGGCCTAATCTTTCAAGCCACTCCTGTTCTGAAGGCAGGTACTCAGCAGCAAGCAAATTTGCATTTTTTTTTTTAATCTCCCAGTGATGCAACACCTTTAGAGAGAGGGACACTAGAGATAATAGCGTGAGTACACAGTATCAGGGCACAAAGAATCATAGTTTTCACAGCAACAAAAAAGATGCATCTCCAAACCTCAACTGATCTTAAAAGACCATTGTGCAAGCCTGGTCTGCACTGCACAGTCATCCTTTGGATGAAGACACTTTTGCTGTGCAACAGTGCAGTCATGCAGAACCAGCGTTTCCAAAACAGGGCTGAGACATTCCATTTTACAAGGCTACAGCATTATGCAGAATTGCATTTTGAGATATTTCTTTTTTTCTGCTGCACATTATAGATTACCTATAAGAAAGCAGTAAGTTTCTGTAATTTGGTGTCCAACAGCTCCCACAGTTCACCTCATTTCCTTCCCGCTAATGTTCCAGTTCTTGAAAATGCTCTATTTCCAAGACAGCATAAAGCACTGCTGAGCAACATTCACTCTCACTATTAAAAGGCAAGTATATTTAAAGCCATGGGATGGCTTGACCGTTCAAACAGTAAGGATGTCTGAGGACAATTGGACTAAAGCAAAATAGGCATGTCTCAGCGCTGCTCTTCTGAACACCTTTATTTCAAGGACTGTAGTTTCTGGATTCACACTACCCTATTAGCATGCCAGAAGATTTTGGCAGCACTGAGGTAAACAGCAATGGCAGCATGAGTTGGGAAAAGATTTAATGACCACCCAAAGAACTAATACAGCTACAAAGAACAATCTAAAAATAATTTGGCAGAGTATAGCTAGTAATTGCATGTCTTTTTCCAAGATTTTACTTTGAGGTTCTACCCCAAAAGAGAAAGGGCCAACCACAGAAGCTGTGTTGGAGGCACATGCCAGGGTACCATTCTCAAAGCTGGTAAGATGAAAGGAAACTCTTGACAGAGCCAGTATCAAGAAATCTTGATTACCATGCAATTTTCATATCAAATCCTGTCACTAAAGTTAGCTGGAAATCTTAGCTACATGGTTAAGAAATTATTTTTTTTTTTTTGCACACTTGGAAGTACTGAAAATCCCTGGAATCTTTCATTGGTCACTGGACAATTTAGCTCCTAGCTCGTATTAGCTGCTGTCATTAAACACTGGCCAGAATAAATAATTCTACTTTTCTTACTGGATTTGCTTACTACAAAATAATGCATTTGCCACCCCATATAGTAATGGTGACCTGCAAACTGTTCAGGGTCACTGGCAGGACCCTGAAAGATCAGCAATTAGGTGTTTTGTGAAAGCTGGTTTTCCCTCAGCCTTGCAGTGCTGAGAACAGAGGACATCTGGATCACCACACCCCGCATGGTGCTGGCACAAGAAGTCCAAGCAAGGCCAGACAGTCCTGGGTGCAAGCCAGGCCTACTCAGTTACCCACTGGAACCTTAATATGACAACTTTCATTTAATCATTTATTTGTTACTAGATATATCAAATTATTACCTAATAATGACCTTTCAGTAGGCCAAACGGATATCCCACATCATTTTCTAGATTCTTCCAAAAGATATTTTCCATGAAATAGCATTTGCTTAGAACAGAACTTATGTAACGTGCATTTCCTAACTGCACTGATGTGGCACATCAAGTTACATTTGTTATGAGACTTCTATTACTTTATTTACAGACCGATTCCTAAACCATCCCCCACAAGGAACTACTTACATTAAAGTAGGCCTCTGAATAGTTTTGAAGATTCACCAACCATCCTGATTAAAACCATTAATAAAGTGTAATTCTCCACTGGGATGCAATATCACTCTAAATGATGCTGCTGAAACTCAGAAAGCCAACAGTGATTCACGTACCAGCAAACAAATTAAGATATTAAAACTGATAAGCACTATTTATATGAAGCAATGTAACTTTAATTATACCTGTTAGAATGGTCTTGAGAAATACCCTTCAAATGCAGAATGCAAAATATTCAGTCATTTTAATGTCCAATCTGTCTTTGTTGATGTTTACATGGCTATGATTGCTTTTATGCAAAAACAGCATTAGAAAACTAAATACTTTTAGCTACTTGAAATGAGTACAGCCAGCACAACATGAATAGGCAAGAACTAGTGACACCATTAGCTTCTCTGTTAACTCCAAAGTAAATTGCACATCTCGATACAACAGTTAATATCTACAATACAGTGAATCAGCTGATGTAAGTTTGTAGAGTGAAGACTGATAAACAACAATAAACAGCTTGTTGGAGAAGCAACTTTCTCCAGCTTGAAAGTTGAAAATAAGTTTGAGATACAAAGTTCATTAAATATTTGCAGTAGTCCATAAAATAAAAAGTTTTCTGTACATAACATCTAATCCAGATTTGTGCTAGCACCTGGTTTGTATTTAACATATCATTAAATTGGTTAAAAACATAACAGACAAACTGTATTTCACAAACCCCATTAAAAACTAAAAAAGTATTTCTACAAAGAATGTAGTGTAGGTTGCATTTTCACTAGAAGACCGTAGCAAATTTGTTACACACACAAGTTTTTCAAATATGAAGAGTGGTTAATGTCTAATGTGATAGAAGTGGACAAATGTATTCCATACTTAAATTTGCATATTGGAAAACTGCACCAGTGATCATAAATCTGATGCATAGCTGCAGATACTTATAACTATTCAACTTTTAAATGTAAGGTGTGTTTTTTGCTCCTGTTCTTGTCAGTTTTCACAGCTTCAAGAATTATTTCCTTACATAATTGCACAAGCTGCTTCCTTGAGGGAGCACCTTGTTTCCACATGAACTAGTCTGAGAAATCACTTACATGTACAATCCACTCTACAGCTGATTACTTCAAACTTTTTCTCATCAAGAAAAATAATTCTGATCTGTTGCAGTTTCTGTTATCTCCTCACTCTGAAAATGATACATTGTCAAAGATTTAGTTAAGGTTAGTGAAAGACCGGTTAATTCCTCTTAATTCTATTTTAAAGAGTAATTCTAGCTAAATCTAATTAAGAACACCTTTAAGTTAAATCCTAAATAAACCATCATAAAAGCAAAAATTAAAAAAAAATCCTTTATACACACCTCACTAAACTAGTCGAAGTTTACGCATAGACAAGACTTCAGCCATTTTAAGAACACTTTGAAATTAGTTCAGCTAATCAAAATTAAGACACTAGCTTGCCATAGACACCTTAGAAATACAGCTCGCAGGAAACAAGCTGGACCAGCCAGAACACACAGGTGTACTGGGAACAGAAGGGCATAAACGAGGACAGCTACAGCATCTTAACTGGGGAGAGGTTTGGGTTGATTTTAAATACCCACACCACTGTTAAGTACTCAGCCTTGAAAGCTGATGGCAATCTCTACAAGAGATTAAAAATAAAAAATAAAGGCAGTTTATCATGTTACATCTGCCACAATCTCCATTTCAACACAAATAGTTGCAATTCAATATTAATAAGGTTATTGAGTTGGGTTTTCTGAACTCTAAATCAGATAGTTTTTTCTTAAGAGAAAAGTTTCTAATAACATTAAACTTTTCCATTAAGTTATTTAAGGGAAGGCATTGAAAGATGCGGCAGCGTGAGGCAGAGCGTTTCTGTTGTGGAAGTCAGTCCAGCAGATTGAGAAGCCATGAAGCACCGCATCCACCTTCTGGATCTGACTGACACTCAAACTGGGAAATCCATACTCCCATACTGGTACGGCTGGCCTCAGGCTGCAGGTCACGGGCAGGGAAGTACTGCTCAGGCTGCAGGTGCTTCCTGAACCAAATACTTCCCCACACCTGTACACAGAGCACCAAATGACAACAGAGATGATGTATCTGCAAACCTCAGCCCTCCTCCTCTCTTGCACAGCCCTATCACAGTTCTTTCCATAATGAAGATAAACATACAAATTAATCCCTTATTTTGCAATTAAATCATTCAAATTTTTAAAATAAGCAAGTTCCGAGACATTTAGTAACACAATTGAAAGAACTATTCAGACTTTGTCCTTTACATACAGGTATTTCTTCAGCATGTTTTATCAAAAATAATAAAAGATTCACAATAGTCTCATGTCTGCACAGTGTCGAGAAGAATTTTAATTTTCTAAGTTTTGGTATCACAGAAAACTTGTGTTTGACACAAGCTACCTTATTACACAGGGGAAAAAATAAATCAACATTTACAGTGTTAAAATACAGCAAATTGGGATATTTGCAATTTGTGAATGAGACATTTGGTATCACTAATACAAGCTTATTCCTGGAGGCAAAAAAACCCAATCTATTAGTGTAGCCTTCAAAGTAATTAACACAGGATTTAGAAAGATCCGTTTTTAATTCATTTTTATAATAAAAAACTTAAGTCTATTTTTAAAAAACATAATTACCTGTCAAGAAGATACTATTTTGATGCGTAACAAAATTTAACTATTTGTAAGTTAAATTAATCTTTCAGGTGTCCTCAGACACTCATCCATCCAGTTTTATGCACACAAAACCGTTAGTACCAACAAAAGCCGGGTTATTAACCCTGGCGATACAGCATCTTTCTGCACTTGAAGCAAGCAGAACTTACACAAATCGCAGATATAGCACCTAAAAATGCTTTACTAATCATATTGTAGTTAGCATTTTTACTAAAAATGGATTAAAACATCTTGAAAATGTTCACTTGTACCTTCTACAAGATTCAGCCATATTCTCAGCAATGCCAATACTGACGTTAGAAATGCTTAAAAAGACTTTATTCTCTTACCAGCTGCATTAACAAAACTACATTCTCCATTACTCTAGCCTACATTTAAAGCTGCTGGAGTTACCTTGCCTCACTAGGAGTAAGAGGAAGAAGCCGCTATTCAACTGCAGGTGTTAAAATAGCGTAAAATCCAATTTGTCTCTAGAATCCTAGAGACAAATTAAATCTCAACACACCCCCTACAAGATGCCGAAATTAAAGATATGGTGAATTTCAGTACTGTGTCTGAACAATGACTAAAAAAGTTTCTGCACTATCCATTTTTCCTATGACACAATACCTTCAAACTGGGTCAGATATTTAAATCACACTGAAGTTATTGCCATTTTAGAAATGAATATAAAGCAATTGACAAATTTTAGTAGTTGCCCACAAACTCAGAAAGGATTGTTTTGTGAAAGGACTATTGCCATTTTTGAGCCAAGTTATAATTTTAAGATTGTCTATTGCCTGATGAGACAGGTTGAATTCTATCATCTTAATAACCCTGTGAACAGCGAGGATGGGGGGGAAGCATGAACTCCTGGTGACCTTGGCAGGGGGGACAAGACGATACAACATCAGCTAAAACTCTAGAATACTCAGTATACAGTAAGCTACAAAAACATTTCAAGAACATTTCTTGGTTTTCTATGTTACATATAGGAAAGTTAATCATTAGAATGACTTCAACAAAAAAAGGCTTTATTTCACTGAAATCAATTTTAAAAATACTTACTGCTTTTTAATTTGCAAAACAGCACACCTAAGGCTTCTGAAGCAACACTGACTAACCATCCTTTAGTTTAGAAGACTAAGACATTCTTCAGCCAAATGCTATCCAGAGAAATTATTTTACTGAGTGGTCCCTCATAACTTGGCTCTTGGAGATTGCAGACTTGCAATAAGGATGGTTGTAATCCATGAACTGTAAACATGGATCAGTTAACCTAAACAGGAATGGAAAGGTCTTGAAATCATTTAAGCATGCATGAATAAGCAAAGAGGGGAAGAACAGAAGGTAATAAAATTAAGCAGTTCTCAATATCTAAGATTATGACAAATTAAATCATCCAAGTGTTGCCTCCCCTCTTCTGTACAATGTTTGACAGTGAAATCAAACTCACCCATTTTGCTGCTTTCATCACTTTGCCCCTGCAGGCTAAAAATGCATTCCCAGTAAGAGTTCTTTAAATAAAAAGCAAATCCTTTAAATGAAAATTTAAATTTATTTTGAAATTTTTAAATGTCATTTCTATCAATTTAGACACACTGTTTGACATTATCAGATCAGAGAATTTACAGTGACTCACGGATAAAGATTTGGCTTTTACATTCAAATCTTAAGTACTTCAGAATAGCTTTGTCTTGTTGTTTCCAAACCAGAAACACTAAAGAGCATTTTATTTTGCCTTTCAACCATCTTTGTTAATTAACAGACTTTTGATATCTGCTGTATTTGAAGGGGAACATGCATAACACCAAAGGAATTACTATGTTTGAATGAAGTGAGTACCTTAATTACATTTCCAGATTTAAGACTAGTTCATTGTAGCATCAAAAGGCAGTGCTAAGTAGAAAGACAAGATTTTTTAAAAATATATTTTCCTCAGGTAGACTGCAGAGCCTGACCTAATTGGAAAGCCTCTTTATGAAGACAGCAAGTCTTGCTATCCAGTGTTAGCATCATACAGTCTGAAAGTTTAGCAAGCTTTGTACAGTTTTCATAATTATTTTGGAAACAATATTACAATATTACAGAATTCCATCGCTACCCTAACACTACCCCTGTATTAGTGGTTACCAATGAAATTCAATTCATATATCAGACTTTAAAATTGTGTTTATTTTATTGCTTACTATAGTTTATTTTCCTACTCTATAGCACTAACTTGAAACTGGATAAACATAAAACATTTGCAGGGAAGAGATTTGATCAATTTGCCCATTCTGGCAAGGAGAATGCTCCTTCAGCATGTACAACATAATCACCTGTTCCAAGGTGAGTGTCAGACCATGTCTCTCCAAGAGGGACAGCCTCCCACCATGCATCTTAAAAATTCAGAACCCCTCCAATTTGTAAAAACAATGCAAGCTCCAAAGCCCTGAAAAAAAAAAGGCTAATAATTTTAGAGTACAACTTTCATGATATGCTAACATGGGGAATCTCATAGTAAGGTACTCAAAGAGATAAGATTCCTTTGTACACACCTTAGAGTGTAAGAGGCTGCTACTGTCTTCAGCCAGCAAACAGCACGTCATGGAAGATCTGGGACCACAGCAACTACTTTGGCTAGAGTCAAGCATTTGTAATAGTAACAAATTAGGATGGGGGGGTTAGATTTTGTTTTGTAAGAGGAAAATACTTGCTCAAGTCTTCCGTAATACATTTTCTCCCCTGTCTTTATTTTCACTGTCTGGTGGAACATCATTAATAGCGTGCCAGGAATGCTCTATCGCTTGATTCCCGAAGTCTGCTGCGTTTCAAGAATCACAGGCACATTCCCTGCTCAGGAACACACAGCAGAAAAAGTATGAAAGGTCTGTTCTATTACAGTTTTAGAAGCTGTATAAGAAACACGTATATAATCTTAATCTTCCCTGTTGGTAAAGTCTGTTAACCTACTTAATCCACAGGTATGATGATATGTATCTCAACACCCAATGAAACAAGTATATTCATAAGCCTTTAAAGTATATAGAAAACTCAGTTCTGTCCTCTGATGCTGTTTTCAAGTTTGTTTTATTCACTCTTTTGGATGACTATAAATAAGTGTTTCCACTATGGAAAAGAAAGTTAGCACAGTACATTTTCATGATCGGGGAATGGATTTTCTGAAGACATCTTCAAAAGGGCAAAAGCTTAGAAAAAACAACCCGAACGTTGAATTCAGTTCCTTATAAAGTCCCTTGTAAAAATTAATAAAAAAAAGAAAAAAGAACAAGAAAGAAACAAACAAGTAAAGGAAAAACTGCAAGGCCCAAGATGATTTATTGCTTTTCTTCAGTTTTTTCCTTGGTCTCTTTCTTCTCAGATTCTTTGCTCTCTTCCTTTACAGAAAGCTCTTCTAGTTTTTCAGCAACTTTATCAGCACTATCATTTTTGTCTGTGCCTGCTAAGAGATTGATTAGGGAAAAAAGGTTACATACAGGCAGTAACGGATTTCCCTGTTACAGGAGAAAGAGTAGAAAAGTGGAAGGTGAGGGGTGTGGGGGGAGGCAGCTGGAACTTAAAATAAGAGCAAAAGTAAAGAAATTTTTCACCAAGCACTGGAACGATTCATTCAATTTCTTTTGCTTTGCTAATTACCTCAGATGTCAGAATTCAAGAAATACCACTTGCATGTTTTAATCACTAAATGAGGGCCTAACCCTAGTGACTGAGAAACACACAACATTTGGTCAGCTTTGCTGATACCAGTAGCAGACTCCATACAGCGTCCACTCAAATAAGCATCCCTAGCTTCTTGCCTATCTTAACTGAAAAAACAACTTAACTGAAAAAAACAGTTTGAAACTGGGGAATAGGAAGTTCTTGAGACTGAAAAAACCTGATCTAAATATCTTTAAGAGCCCTGACCACAGACCATCTGTACTTTAGAAAGAAAGATGGAAGTTTTTACATGGTAAGATGACTTGTCACACAGGCAATTCTGGGAGGCAGTGCTTTAATCTATTAAATAAGAAATCTGTGAAGAAATGCTACAACTTCATACATGTTAAAAGCTATAAAAAAAAGTATTCTACTTGCATGACTATATATTTGTGGAATTTGGGAAGAGGAACTGGAAGGAGGAAATATCACGGTGGTTGCAGTGTTCACAGTTCATTTGTGTACTATAAACCCAAAATGCTTCTTCAGTAGCCTTTCTAAAAAAAGCAGTGTCCCACCAGCCATTGTAACAGCCTTCTACAAGAAAGAAGGCAATTGTCACTTCCGTGAATTATTGCTCTCGCAGACTGAAAAAGTACCTGAACTGAAGACTGCAGTTCAGCACAGAGTGAGTCTGCTGAAACACTGGGATACCCCCGGGGGCTACAACCACACAAACAGTCAGAGAAAGGGGCTACACTTTGACTCTTAACCTTACCTTTCTTTGCTCTCTTGTCTACTTCATTCCTGCATTCTTCAAATTTTGCCTTGAATTTCTGTGCATCTGTTTCAGTAAAGATAGAATATTTTTTTCATTAGTTTTACCTCCTTGCAACACTAAAAACTTCCAATCTCAAGGAAAGATACCTGAGAAGTTTCATAAACAAAACTTGTAGGTGCTTATAAGATAAACTAATTTAAAAATCACACAAGATGCTATGCAAAATTCTTGAATCATATCTTTGTGCAGAAGCAGTTTTATTTTCTTTAACAAGTCCATTAAAGTGGCTTATTCTGGAAATTACTTAAAACAATGCCAGAAGGAGTTGTTTTCTAGTTATTGCAAACCCCAACTGTCCCTAGCCTACAGGAATAGGAACATGTCATCTGAGACCATCAATGTAACTGTGTGGAAAATACTGAATATTAGCTTTGAACTTCCATCCTTGTAAGCTACATTATACCCTAAAAGACCTCCACATTCTTACTGTAACTTGGGGTTCTTGGCATCAAGAACAGAAGATAAAGCTTGTTTCTTTAGTACAGAATTTAGATTCAATACCCAAAGGCCTGGACTGAACTACTCCCAACTACAATAGCTAAGGAAGCACAACATTCATTATGCTTTGGTCTAAGCCACTATTTGATTTAACAGTCATTCTAAGCAGCTGATCAAGTTACAATAATGTTTCTACAAAAGTAATAAAAGCAACAAGACACAAAAGCAGACCAGCAAGGTACTTTCTAACAGCAGAACTATAAGGAGGTAACTGAGTACACCAACTTGGTCCGACTGACCACAGGAGGTCACTGTTGCCCACAGGAATTCAGAAGCCACTATAAAACTCGTCCAGGAAGTATTTCTATTGATTCCTTTTCAAGCATCTCAAAAAAAAAAGATATTTGAATGGCATGCCTCTGTCTGTTCACCTGTCATCTGCTTAGTCAGTACCACAAAGGGTAAGCAGGCAAAAAGGACTGCTCCCTCAAAACAAATTTCTCAGTAACCTGAACCACCTCTACCAGAAAGAGGGAAAGACTTTTCAAAGATGAGCAAATTGTTACCAAACCCCTTTTATTTCATATTTGATTAAGAAAGAAGTAAGTATTAAGCAGGTGGATCAGAAAGATTTATTTGACTAAACAATATGATGTTGGAGATTTGAGGACAAGGAAGCAAGAAGATACACAAAGGTCCTCCCAGATGTAGGCAAATCCATCTAGTTTTAAAATATACAGCCACTTTATTAGCTATCTAGCATGTCGGGAGAAGAGGTGGCTAACACACCAGTGTGGCAAATGGTAAAGCAGGAAGCACAAGACAATTTTTCCTCTCTCACTTTGCTTCTTTTTTTCAAGGAAAAAAACCCCACTTTGGTTTAATCCTAAGGAGTTGGGAAAGCTACACTGTCCTTCAGCCCTGATCCGTATGTAACTACAGACCCACTTTCTGTTGTGGTAACCAGTGTAGTCATCCAGAAAAACCCACCAACTAGTATGACAGTTGGGCCTGACTAGCACTTTCACTGAGTGTTCCATTTAATCAAAACAAAGAAAATACTAGATAATTCATTAAAAAAATATTAAAAAATATTAAAAAGATGTTCTGCTAATATAGGTGGACCAGAAATCTCAGGTCAGTTATTTCCTTATTTCTACTGCAAAAATGTAATCTTAACTACAACTGAGCACCTGCGATAACTGCCTGCAAGCTGAATGTATTAATCTCTACCCCTAGAGACTCTACCCCTAAAACTAGAGACCTAATTATTACACTGTTTGTCAACACATATGGTTAAGCGATTAACTGACTTCTCTCAGTTAAAGCAGTAATTAGCTAAGACTACCATGCGGTGGTAAGACACGGTGTATCTACAACAGTGGTTTACGGGAGTGTTTAGACATGCAGTGTAACACAACAGTTTAACAACAACAACAACAGTTTAAAACAACAGTGTACAATCCAGGTAAGTTCACTCACTCTCTGCGTTTAAAAATCGGATTGCCAGAAGTTCAGGCTTGGGGCTTTCATCTGCAAAGTCAGCGTGTGTGTTCCAGACCCATGCCCTGTCGCTCCCAGCATTAGGCTTCAGCTCCATTAAGGGTGTGACTGAAAAGAAAGCATTTAGAAGATGTACACAGCACAATAGTAAATATTTTCCACACCAGCCTCCATAAATCTTATCAACAACTGACTGCAATGGTTATATGAAGCATTTTACACAAAATTACTTTTGTTTAAACAGAAGACAATGGTGCCTGTATATAGTTTTCCTTACATCCTCAAATAAAATGATGCCAGACCTCTGCCATGTAAAAGAATGCTAGATTCCTTATTGCTAAGAAATTGAGACTTGGATTAGATTCTTGTTAAAACAGATGATTCAATACTAAGAGAGATGCAGTCACCAAGCACAGCTCTGAAGAGCAGTCAAATGGTTTAGCAGGAAAAGGCATCCAGACAAACTGCATTCTGTCCTCTTTTGTACACTGAAAATACTACACATCACAAAAAAAAAAGTTTTAAAGCAGCATTATTCCTACAATTAGGCATCAAATCAGGTTCATTTCTCTCCCATCAGTTTAAAGCTCCATTACAAGATACTACAGAATTCTGACGTGCCACAAGGTGTGCACAGCATGTTTTCAATCCAATGGTTCCTCCTCAGTAACAGAGCCCTTTCCCTCCAAGACACAACAATTACTTCACCTGACTGATTGGAGAAGTTGAAATGTTACTTCTCACACTAAGACTTTTCATATTGCACATACAAGAAGTTTAAGCAGGTTTTTTTTTTCCCCGACCCCTGGATCCTTTGTTCAGTTTGGGAGAAATCTGAAGAGTCTACTCACTTTCTTGCATTTTTTTTTTTAAATTTAGAGATCAAATTACACTTTCTTTCATGTGAGGTTTTGCAGTCTTTCCGTCTGCCTGTGAGTCAGCATAAATTCAATAAGAAATTTAACAATGAAAGCAGGTTTCCCAGGAATAAAAAAACCACATGAACACTACGAATTTATCAATTCTGCTTTGCATACATGCAGTATTTATTTTCCTAAACAAAAGGTTTATTCTTATTGGTTGGTGACTACACTGCTTTCATATTTGCCATTTCACTTACTAAACAGGAACACCTGTGTCCCCTAACCATCTGACTTTCTGAAAAGATCTACCCAAAGAAAACAAGCATTATTGCTTCTGATTTCAAATTTATATTAAGCTACTTCAAACAAGTTATTTCAAGTTATCCAAATGTAGTTCAACTCCACAGAACAGTATATACTCTTCATATAAAAACCCAAGTATTACCAAAGCAAGTAACAAAGCATTACCAAATTAGTCTACTTGTTGATAGTTATATTGACTTTCAAGTCTGTCTTGCTCTTTCATGTTTGTTTTTATTCAAAGAGGCTCAAAGGAACAAACCTCTCCTGCTCTATCAGCTCTCAATACATTCTTTTCGAATGAGTTAGCTGAATATACCACGTTCGTTTCAGCTTATTTCACAAGCAGAGAAAGGCAGCCACAGATTAGTTTAGCACCTCAGTGTCCATTTTCTGATGGTTAAGCAACTGCTTCTACCAATTCAAACATTTACCTCAAAGCAGAAAATTATTACATGATTGTTTATTGCTCATTCTTTTGTGAGAACAAGCTGGTATACATTAGTTTCTTATACTAAACAATATTAAGGCCTACATTTTCTACACTTAAACATCACACTAGGAGCAACCACATAATGTCTGTCTAGCCCAGTTAAATTTTCAAGTGTCTTTAGAACACTATCAGAGTCTGAAGAAAACAACCAACTTTAGGAGTCAATCACCAAAACCAACCACAGCTTCTTTCCATTCATAAAAATAAGCACTCATTGTTTTTGATGCTCTGCACACAAGGCTACAAGCAAGAGACAACTACATTTACAGTCTAATATAAATCTGATGCCTGTTTAAAGATTCCCTGGTAGCTACTAAAAAGCCACAGAGCTCTTAATCTACAGTGTACAATTCTACAAGCTTATTTTTAAAAAACAAAACTAAGAAGTATAGCAACATGTAACATACTATAATGGTTTGCACAGATTTTTAGGGTTTTATCCCTCCTCATGAGGAGACGAATTGTTCCCTTCTCCTTGTGTTTCAGGAGTTTTACATCACCAGTTCCTCGTTCTTTCCATTCTGGAAGGTCATTCTCAGATGCAAATCGGAACAGCTTTGCTCGCCTTGAAGAAAAGAGAATTTAAAAAGTTAATCTGCGTGTAGAAACATTAATCGAAACAGCAGTTGATCGAACTCTACAGCTGGCTTTTTTTTGTTTTTAAACCACATACAAGAAACAAAACAATTCCCTTTGTAAGGTTTCCTGTTCTGCTTCAGCATACAAGTTTAGAAAATTTAATACGTTTTAAACCACATACAAGAAAGAAAACAATTCCTTTTGTAAGGAATGTTCTACTTCAGCATACAAGTTTAGAAAATTTAATACCAAACTACTAGGAATTATGTAATTGCTATTCAATAATAACTAAAATTCAGTAAGTTCTGGACACACTTTTGGGGGATGATAAACTATTTGGTATAGGCAACCCTTTAAATTAAGGAATTAGGGTAACAAAATTAAACAGGTTTTGCTATAGAGTTCTTACATATATTATAAATACCACTGCTACCTCTAACCAACAGTATTTATTACTTCAAGAAATTGAGAAGCTTGAGGCTAAGTCAAGAGTCTTGTATAATTCTAAGCCCAATATTTGATCAACTGTTAACAAAAGACCTCACCCTTTAGAGTCACTCATTTCCTCTTAACTCCAAAAACCTAGTTGTGGCTATTCTCAAATCAGGAATAAAGGAAGCTTAGTGCTGCACTGCAGTGCAACATACCTGCTTCAGCACATCACTGTTTAATCTTCCAAGATGCCAGAGTGCCAAAAGAGAAACAGGAATAGTTTGGGACATTAGTCAAAACTGACCCAAGAGACAGTCTGAGCTCTGCCAGTGAGGAGTTTAAGACACTACTATAGGAAAGGAAGCACCTGCTCACACTACAGGATATATACTAAAATATACTTTTCTAGAAAAGAGCCAGGGATAGGCACTTGTAATAAGCCAGGTCCTTCAAGAGAAGGTGTAAGATATTGGAGCAAGCTACTCTAACAGATGCTCTGATGCACATGAACCACTTTATTCCAAAGCAAGTCTGTCCTTCCAAGTCCAGCTGGCATTCAGTAAGCTCCCGTAAGTTCAGCTGTAAGAGCAACCAGCATTCAAAAAAAGGATTCCTTTCCTCCTTCACCCCTTTGTAGACATAAAAATGGACCTACACAGCACTGGAACTTACACTTTGTAAGTAATAATTTGCTTCTTCAGGCAGATCATACATCTTAAGCAAGCTGTCCTGGTTTGACAATAAGCTCAATCTAAGGTTACAACTACCTTTAAGGCAACAGAAAGGTACTGCCACAAAAGCCCCAATACTTTACTGCATCTATTGCTTTTATTGTTTCAGTATATCATACATCACCCTTTACAGCTGGGGATGCACAGCAGCAACATTATGTATGCCTCTTTCTCCCCCCCAGGATACTTGTTTTATACTGTGATCACACAATTTCAAACCTCTAATTACTATCCAAGCTAATGTTTTATTTTAGGCTAAACAATACCAAAGCCAGATTCATAATATCAGCCCCCTTCTATTGTTCCAGACTTCAGAGTTTCTTGGGGCATTATTACCAATCATGCCCCCATTCAATCTCTGCCACCACAGTGAATACCAGCCAACTTAGACTACCACTTCATACACAGAGATTCCTAACAAGTTATCCAACTTTTTATAAACACATTCAAGTTTACCCTTAATAAACATTTAGATAATATACAGAAATATTCTACTTACATCTTAAAAAGTTCTTCCTCATCCTCTTCCAGAGTTTTTATTTCTTGCTCAGGAAGAGAAACTATGGGCTCAAACTGAGGATCATGGTTAGAATCATCTGCATTTTCAGTAGAAGTATCATGCTCCTCATGTGCTTCCTAGAGAGAAAAAAATAATAAATATAAAAAACCCACAAAACTCACTACGCGTTTAAAATCTGAAGTACTCGTGTCTGTGCCTAAAATGAAAACACATCCATTCATCAATTAAATATCAATTAAATCTTAGTAACTGAAATACCCTGTAACAGTAAAGAACAATTATAGCTAGAAACAAATGGCTTTAAAATTAACACATTAAGAAGGAAAAAAAATAATAGTGCTCTTGCAGTGCTAGATGTTTTAGTTTTACCACTTGTTAATTGTGCAGAGGCTTGGCCTTGGAGCAATAGCTATTGGTTATGGAAAATAATTTCTTCAACTATTTTTCCTACATAATGTCTTTTATGCCACTAAAGCACTACTATTTCTTAGTGGTTAAGGACCTGACATTAAGGGGGGGGGGGGAATCAAAAAACACACCACAGTAACCACCCAACCCAGCTTAAGGGACAGATTACATCCCTAAATTCATTAGTCTAGTCTTATGTATGAGAATCATCCACAATCAAAGGTATTTTTCAAGCACAGTTGCAACACTTATGAAACAATTTAAGTTTTTTGTTTTAAGACTCTTTGGGGAGCTTTAGGTTACAGGTAAATAGCCAAAATACTACTACTTATTGAGTTATTTAGGAATCTCGCATAACATTCATTAAGCTTAAGAATTGTTTTTAGTATGTGACAAGTAAGTAAATGTTAAACGTCTCTAATACTTCATACATATGCACTGCTAAGCAGCATTTAGTAGAGAAGCCTAGAAGGGAGATTCATCTGCAAGTTTAATGAGGTCACAAAGAGCTATCTCGGGTCAAAGGAACTGACCTGAGAAACGGGGGGGGAAGGAGGGGAGGACGGGGAAGGAATTTATTGTTGTTTGAATAACGGAGAAAGGAAAAACAGTCTATACATTTAAGACTTAAATATTACTTTCACTTTATAGATAGAAGACTCCACTCCTACAGACTACTTAGAATATCCTTTGCAGAGCAGGTACACACCAACGAAGCCGTCTGTTTCTACTAAATAGTTAAAAAAAAGACAGGGTTCGAGGGGGAATTAGGTAAGAAACGTTGCAAAATAAATTGTGGTTATGTCAACAACATCACATTAACTAGCATTAGTTTTATGTCCCCATTATTCCAACACATCAGAAAAAATCGAGAAGTACATTAAGTCACATCTGTTTTCAAGGAACAGGAAACGAAACGTTGGCCAAAGTTTTATATATCGTCTCCTCCAGTAACAAGCAGCACATCCCGTATCTTATCGTCCGTTCTGCTTCTGACCAATTAATTACAGAAGCCGTAAGAAACGCAGAGTTCACAATAGCCGCAGGCAGGAGAAAGCAGACGCCGTTATCACGATATACGCCCGCGACACAGAGCACGTGGAGCTCTCCTCCCGCCGGGCCGTGGCACGACGGGCTCGGCCAGCCGGGCTGGGGGAAGGGCGGGAAAGCGGAGAAGAAAGGAGGGAAGCGGGGACCGGGATCGCCGGGGATCGCCAGAGTGGCAGCCGGCGCCGCGGCGCCCGCAGGAGGCTCCGGCCTCCTCAGGCCAGGGAAGGGAGGCCGCGGGCCGCCTCGGCCTGGCCCAGGGACAGGCCCCGACAGCCACACGTGCCCTAGTCGCCTCAAACGGCCGGGCGCCTCCGGCCCCACCGCGCCTGGCCCTCCGACAAGGCCCGCGGCTTCTCCACCACGGTACCGGGCCTCACCTGACCGCGGGCCCCCCCCCCGCCTCAGCCCGGCC